GCGTGGTGGATGTTAGAGTACAGAAAAATTTAAACCAGTTACAGTCCTAAAAACGACAACAGAAAATAGGAAACATATTCTGAAAATCCATTAGATTAATGGAATACAGACAAAGTAAAGGCAAAAATAAAACTAATCAATCCAGACACTATAGTAAGAGTCAAACCCATGAAATATAGTGTAGACGACCAAAAGGGATTTAAAGACCAGATAAAAGAACTGCTAAGAGCTAATTTGATTAGGCATAGTAAAAGCCCACATAGCAGCCCAGCCTTTATGGTTAGAAAACATAGCGAGATAAAAAAAGGAAAAGCCATAATGGTGATAAATTATAAAAAGTTAAATGAAATTACCAAATTTGATGGATATTACTTGCCAAATAAGGACACCCTTATTAAGCAAGTGCAGAATAAAAAGATATTCTCAAAAATTGATTGTAAGTCAGGCTTTTGGCAAATCATGCTTACAGAAGAAAGTAAATCATTAACTGTATTTAGTACCCTCAATCTTTTAGGACAATACAAATGGAATGTAATACCATTTGGTTTGAAAAATGCACCACAGATATTTCAAAGAAGAATGAATGAGGTAATTAAACCGATTACTCATTTTTGTATAGCATATGTAGATGATTTACTTATTCATTCAAATAACATTGAAGAACATATTGAATATCTTGAGAAATTTTGTTATATTATGAAAAAATATGGTATTACACTTTCTCAAAAGAAAACTGAGATAAATAAAACAGAAATAGAATTTTTAGGATTATTTATAAAAGAAGGAGAATTGCAGTTGCAATCTCATATTAGAGAAAAATTTCAAGAATTTTCAGAAGAGATCAAAGATAAAAAAACAATTACAAAGTTTCCTCGGTATATTGAATTTTGCTGAAGGATTCATTGAAAATTGTGCCAAACTAAAAATTTATTTTCTTCCAAAGTTAAGAAAAAATATAATATGATCTTGCGAAAAACAAGATTGTGAAAATATAAGGAAGGTAAAAGAAGAATTAAAGGTATTACCCAAACTTATAATTCCACAAGAAGAATATATCTTTATCCTTGAAATTGATGTTTTAAATAATTATTGGGGAGCAGTATTAAAGGTTAAAAAGAATCATAAAGAATATAAATGTGAAAAAAATTGTTCTTGTCCTGAGATACTTGCAGGTTATACATCAGGAACATTTAAAGAAGTTGAAACGAGATATGAGACGAGCAGGAAAGAACTTATTGCTGTAAAAAGGGGAGTTCAAAAATATGAAGATTATTTATTACCAAAAAAGTTTTTGATTAGAATTGATAATACTTAAGTTAAAGCCTTTTTGAAAAATGATGCTGATCTATTATCTCAGCAGGGATGGAGTTAGAGCAACTAAGGACGAAAGTCCAAATACTTGAGATAAAAGTTTCCTATTTGGAAACACAAATTCAAAATATCCAAGATAGCCTTCAAGGTAAAAATATAGCTCTTGATGCAGAAGTAACTTGTACCAAGTCTAGTATCCCTTCATAGAGACCAGTAAATACTAGCGCTCTCCCCGATGATAAAGGGAAAGAAAAGAAGGTAATAGGAATCCCTTCACAGGGAATACTTAAGCCTATTACTGGTAATGAAGATATTCAAAATATCAAAAGCGAAGGTAACTCTTCACAGAGCCAAACTAAATCTAAACTTTCTATTGAAAGAATAGATCCAAAAGATATTGTCAAAATATGCCATAAGGCAAAATTTCTCTGAAAAGATAATCATGAAGAAGTCATATTCTTTATTGTTATTTTTAATGTTTTATCAGATTGGTATCTGGAAATAAAAAAGTGGATGAAAACTCTCCATTATGCAAAATACAGCAAGATAAATTTCTATCCAGGAGCACTAGCCAACTGGGTGCGAAACTGTTTTGAGATAGGAAATATAATCTGTATATATCCTAGCAAAGATCTCAAAGAAATAGCCCAACTTCCAGCAAACGTCAGGAAAGCTGTAAAAAGATATACTGAAGTTGTCAAGACAACAAACATATACATCAGATTTCATTCATCAACTATGGAATGGGATCCCGTTTTTGAATATATGTATCCATCATTCCATGTTATTAAAATGGAACTTACAAACCAACACTTTTTACCAACCAGTCAAAATATTGTTGAAAATGGATACCAAAATATTATAAATATGATACCCTACAGAAGAGCAAAAGGGTACAAAAAAATATTAGAACATGTAACTCAGATTATTACTGAGAAAGAAAAAATATGGATTTATCCATTTGAAGACCATATAATCAACTCCAATACAAGGATGGCTACAAAGGAAGAAGATATATGTTATCTTGACCAATTATTATCCACAATTATTTCAAACCAAGTATATGAATTAGAAGATATGGCGAAAGAACTGTGTAAACTACTCTGGAACTACAGTGACCACTATTGTGAATACTGCGTAGTAGAAGATATGAGTCAAGCATCTCTCAACAGTGAAAAATTCCCTACAGAATTCTTTAATTCGAAGATGGAAAAGTGATAGTGACAAAAGTGGCCCTTTATCACTACTTTAATAAAGAAATTTATTAAAGAAAAACTATGGCTACTAAAAAACAGAAGATAGTACAAGAAAGTCTTCATAATTGTGACTACTCACCTACCGGTTATTATAAGTGAAAGACAAATCCAAAGATAAGACAGAGAATTTCTAAAAGAGAGGTCCACCTAGCAAGAAAATCGGTGAGGATAAGATTATTGAGCTACCCAACAAAAGGAGGAGGAAGACACCTGTCAAGATAAGATTCTTAAAATCCTCTATAAAAGGAGGCAAGAGAAAAAAGGAGAGACATCTCGAAAACACTCTGAAGAATCACATCTCAAAAATATCCTTTGTAATCTGTATACACCACTTGTATTCAGGAATATTAGATAGTCAGAAGAGAACAAAGCTTGTAATAAGGTAATCACTTATGGAGTTCTAAATTTCATAAGGTGAGTACCAAATGTATGTAAATATAGATTGTAAGTATGTACTATTTTAGTTTATGAATATTAAAGTAAAGTTTGTTATATTCAACAAAACTTTCATAAAATGATTTCGTTAAGTTTCTCATCATTCATCGGCAGTATAGATAGAGATTTTAAAAGATTTTGAAAACATTGATTTTGAATGGATGTTAGCCATGCCAAAGTACCCGTCTTTGATGAACGGTTTAGGGGAAAAATGCAGTTTTCTAACAAAATCGTAGCACCTTGTGTATGAGTTATTTTTTAAAATTTTATTACAAGTAAGAACTTGATTCTGAAAAGAGTCTGAATAGAGGTGAAAACAGAGACTCTGGATACTGTGAGATAGCGTCTGTGAAAACACGGCTAGTTCTCTAGAATGAGAAATGCAACCTTGATTGAAAAGCCTTTTTGCGAAAGCAGTTGTGGACCTAAATGATTTCAAAAAACATTTTGAACTTCTACTTGATTCAGAAGATTGATTAAGTACATGCAAAACATCTATAAAAGCATACTGGAGGGAAAGCCTGTTTACTTCTATTTGATTACTGTAGGTTATTTACTCGCTTTTACATGTTTATACTTTGATTAATTTTGATGAACAATTCACAAGCATCCACATCCATTTCTAATGATGATAATTATCCTAAATTATATTTAGATAAGAAAGATATTTTGCTTTTACTTAAATTAGCTGAAAAGTCTGGAGACGTATTTTCTGTTGGCCAAAAAAAACTTGAAGAAATATATAGAGATATAGATTATTATTGTGAGCATAATATAAGATTTGATTATGTAAGAACTAGTAGAGAAATAAAAAAGGTAGAAAATATTATAACTAAACATAAAGATATAGAAGAAGAAATTTCAGAAGGAATAGTTCTAGGATATATAACTAAGAAAGATCAGCCTTAGAAGAATTATCAAGATACAGAGAATATTTAGAAGTGTCTAAAAGGTTGAAAAATATAAACATAAGTCCTGGTTAATGAATCCCGAAAGGAGAAGAAATATTGAAAAACTTAGAAAAGATACATGATACATCTTGTAGATAATAAAAGTAAGGATAAAATAATATTTTCAATAGTAAAGGTCATTGTGAAAAATAGAACCAATATTCCGGTCATTCAGAAGATTGACCCCCCTCCAACATCTGGTTGCCTCCACATTCTATTCAATCAGAACCCTATTCAAGACCGTGCTATCAAAAATTCGTTTCACCAAGTCATAACCAACAATCAACTCTTATCAATAGTGGCTAAGGTACAATCTTGTCAGAGGATTTCTTAAAAGTAAACTTGGTATAATCACAAGTTTCACAACCTGATTTTGATGTCAATGGTTACCTTTAAATATCGAGATTTTTCTCTTAGGTAGAGGATAACCTATTAATTGATTTGATTAATCAATATGATTGCCACAAGTCCACATGGATGAGTGCCATTTTAGTCAATTCGAGAAATATTTAATGACTTGAGACTCTGGAATGGAGGCCAAAAAATAAATAAATAAACAAGAAAAAGAAAGAAGAGATTTGCAAAAATAGGAGCAACCTTTTCTTCAAAGTTCAAACTATGATATTTCAGCCCCCCAGGGCACATCCCAACTGACAATGATGAGAGCGCTTCAAGGCTGGCAGATCAGAAGTCGTGAGTTCGATTCCTAGAAAGCTCTTGAAAGACAGATATTCATCTGAAAGGCAAGATTTATCCTAGAAGGCAGGAGCTCTACTGGAAGGCAAGGTGCAAAGATGGGAAACGACTTGCTTGGCACTTTGGCAGATCAGTTGGGGGCTCTTGAGCACTGATCAGTTTGGAGCATAACCTGCGATTTAATCTGTCTGCAGCTTGAGGGGCCAAGGTGTAGACTCCAGGATTTAGTCACTGTAAGGTGGATACCTGGATATCAAAAAAAAAAATACTATGATATTTCAATGATTTGTGGCTGTTACTAGGCAACAACAAAATATGAACGCAAATACTTATGGGAAAATCTTCAAAATCATATAAAAATTACATCCTGAGTAAAACTTAAATAAACAAATAGCATCATACATTAAGGTGTGATAGGAGAAAGGGTAGCAGGTATAATATTTAAATCTTGGATTGAACAAAAATATGTGCGTATTACAAATTAAGAATGTATATAATTAATGGGCACATGCATCGAACCTAAACAAACAAGTAGCAGTATAATGATCATTCTTTTGTACCAGATATTGATCATTTTATCGATAAAGCTATTGCCTCACCAACTAGCTAATAAGACGCAAGTCCCTCCTCGAACAGATTCCTCCCTAAGGTAGAGTAGGAGTAAGCGTAGGTTTTACAACCTTAACTTCTCCACAGTCACTTACATATACAGTCTCAAGGGGCCTATTCCATATTGCACGAGCATTTTTGGCTCTTCCATCTCCAATAAACTCTGCAAAATCATTGTATTGCCTGATTCTTTCTGATGGTTTGTAAGTAGGAATTGAAGCTATAGTGCTCACCACATCCAACCCTATAATTAATCAATGCAGTTCAAGTGACTATACCAAGGAATTATAAAAGGTCAAATTATTTATATATTTCTTGCATATAAATTGATTCTTAATTCAAAAAATTACTAATTATAAGTTTAAATTTTTTTACTGACCTTCAAGAACAGCTCCAAAAACTATATTCTTATTATCAAGCTGAGGGCAAGGTCCAGGTCCAGTTGTGATCAAGAACTCAACATTATGGTAATTTGGGTTGAGCTTAATATCATCATCATCATCATTCTCTGATAAACACAATGAAACAACACCAGCCCTTGAGTGTTCCAACAAAAAAGCCTTAGAATCAACTGTTTCTGAGTTCTTAACTAATTGCAAGGGTGGCTTAACCTCTCCTTTATCCCTCCTGCCTTGTCGACCGGCCACGAAGAACTGTCCCGGGAATATTTTTTGGACCAAAGTGCTCTTGTAGGATGAGCCAGAAGAGCCAGTGCACATGGCTTTGAAGTTGGACACTGTTATGGGGACAAGATTGCCATAGAGGCCAAGAACAAGGCGGCCTAATGGTTGGGAATCTGTGCACTGAGAGAGGTCATCTCCGAGTGTTCGGTTTTGGAAGTACGATGAGCAGATGCTGAAATCCAAGAAAACTCTGTCTGTTATGGTGGTGTCTAGTGGTGGTGGAGTGATGGCGGATGAGATTGGGGTTGGGAGGGAGACGGTGGTGGATAGGAAGAGAAAGGAGCGGCGGGTGAGGATTAGTTTTTGAAGAGAGTTACAAGTGCGGTGGTGGTGGTGGTGGTGAGGTGGAAGAGGAGAGGGAGGGAGGTAGCAAATGGGGCTTCCCATGACGATTCAAGACGGTGCATGGTGGGCGAGAGAGGGAGAGATGAGGAGGGAGTGTTTACGTGGAATCTCAAGTGCCATACAAGTGATTTTTTAGATGACTTTTTGGATAAGAGAAATAAACATTGATGATATTTTACAATATTTATCTTTATAAAACTTTTAGATATTATAGCAAACAAAAACATTTTGTTCCCACCAAAACATGTTTTAGAGGGTAAATCTATCTAATTGGACCTACCATTAGTAAGTAATTCATGTCTGAGTGGTTGTCGAGGCACAACGCCTATTAAACATTGAAGCTGCAAAGTGAGTTCTATCAATCTCGATGAAAATACTTTCTTTCAAGTCATGAGTTCGAGTCTAGTCAATCTCGATGAAAATAATTTTTTTCAAGCGAATACCATTCAGGTGTGATAAACTTTGTGTATGTTCATCTAAAATTATTAATAACTTTTAAAATGAATAATACCAACAAAATGTGTGAATAATGGATGGTAGACTTAGTAGTTATTTATGTATAATTAAAATTAATTTTTGACTTTGACTAAATAGCAAAAAAAATTATCAGTAACTTCTAGGAAAAAATTCATTATTATTTCATATATATTTGAAAAGTTAAGGGCCTTTTTGAGCCCCATTATTTCCTAATAATACATTTTGGAATCGTGAATTGATGGAGAATGCGTAGTTAAAAAAATTAATAATAATAACTTTACATGTAATAACATTTTATTCAAAAATGAGTGGTTGAAAAGAAAATGAAGAAAAATATATTTTAAAAAGAATGGAAAACAAACAAGAGCTAAATGATTTGGTTAAAAGATAAAAAGTTGAAGTTAGGGACGATAGCGTGACGGGTCAACCATTTCCATTCCCGTTCCGTCGGGTATTTTTCTTACCTTATCCCTTCTTCATACCCGATTAAAGCGAAACGGGGCAGGATAGGGGACCTGCCCCATTCATCTTTTTGTGTTTTTATTTATTTTTTTGTCATTAGTTAGTAAATATTATTGCTTTTTTTTTCTTTTTTCTTTTTTTTTTAAGAAAAACCCATATTTTCTTTAAAAATGATAATAAATTTTTTATTTTTGTTTGATAAAAAATATAATTTTAAAATTAACTTTAAACATAGTGGGTAGCGAGTCGGGAACTATTTTTTCCATACCTGTTTTGAGATGATAACTCTCTCCAAAAAAATGCTAATGTCAAATTTGGCTTTTGTCAAAACTTTAGCAGAAAAATCAGGCAGACAAGTTAACCGATGTCCAATCAATGTATTTTGCCTCAAAATATCTCCTGATACGCGTGAAGAACAGCTCGTTTTCTAGTAAAGTAAAATTAAAAGAGAAACTTTACTGCCGACATATATTTCTTAAATATTCTTAATTCTTTTTCCAGTTTCTGGTGAAAGATTTTATTAAGTGCCTGTTTTAGCACAACCAACTGAGGAACCGATCACGTGATCTGCCTAATTAAGAGCTTAGTGCTTCCGATGTTCAACATATTATTATTAGTGAAAATGAAAGATTCATTAAACCTTATTCAATTATTAATTTAAATTTCATTATCAAAGTACCTTCAAGCGGAATTTCTGCTTCTATCAAAGCTAAATGTGCACTAAATCCAGTTTGGTATTGCTTTTATGTTCTTGGCTTTCAGATTACTCAAAGTTGGACATTGAAGATTAGTTAAGAATGATATTGTGTTCATATTTATGAGCAATTAATGCATTAACAAATTCAATGGGTTCATTATATTGTCCAATCAAATTCAATCATACACACCCTCGTGCAGGACATAAAATTGTAAAAGTTCATGAAGTTAACGAATTTGTATGATATAATTTGATTAAAACAAAATTATATATTCATTTACTCAATCGTAACAAAATAAAATTCAATTACAAATAATCATGCCATTGAGAAGGATCAAGTGAATGAAATAAAACCTCGATTTCTAATTCTACGGCGTCTATGAGCTTTTCAATGAATGACAGTTAGAAACCATATTCGAAAGTAAAAAAATAAAATAAAATAAAAAATGAAGAAATTATATAAGGAAGCTAATAAAGTGTGTAATTAATTTACACAGTTATTCACTTATTAAAACTAAATCAAATCTTACAAGGATTTTTCTTGTCTTCTAGGTTAGACAACACCAAATGCGATCGCGTCCTTGGAATCTCTCCGGTATCGGTACTCATGGCCGGAGAAGAACCAGATGACAAATGCCCAGCGCCAGATGCGGCCATCAACACTAGGCTACTTTCGCTCCACGATCGCCTCACCGGATACGACACCTGCGTATTTTTCGGCGGATGCGAACAATGGCCCTTCGATTTATGTAACGCGCAGTTACAATTCCGATGATACGGCCGCCGCTGGATCCCCATATCACCACCGGAAATGCATCCTTCGAATACGCCGCGGAGTAGTCCGTCTCCGGCTGCTCCTGTGGCCATATTGATCTCGCCGATTCTCTTAGATATTTTCCTTTATGAGTCTGGCGAAAAATGGCTACGCATATAAATGGTTGCGGGAGCACAATTAGGGCTTAATTAAGTGGTATAATGGCTACTTGGAACAATTTTTATGTTGCACAACTTGCACAGCACAAGGAGTGCCACGTGGGGCGGTGGGCCCCCCACTGGTTATTCTGTTCAACTAATTAATAAATATTAAATAATAACAAATTTCTCTTAAAATAGAAAATTAAAAATTATTTGAGTATGTGTTGTGAATATATAATTTGAAGGAGTTAGGGGTAGCAACGATTAGTTGAATCAAGTCGACTCGATCCTTAAATATTCAAATTCGACCCTTGTCAATAAACACGATTCAATTTGATTCTTTGGCTCTTTTCCCCAGGAGCGCATATTTTTAAGAAATTTAAAAATGAGTAAAATATGACTCAGCCCATGAGCTCAAAAGAGCTTGCTGTGAGCCTCACTCACAAGCCAACTCATGCATTTCAAGTTTTGAGCTCGTCAATTAATGAAAAAATAAAGATGGACTTGATTCATGACTTGTCTCAATATGATCTCAGGTGGCCCATGAGTCAAGCTGAGCCAGCAAGCCATCAAGTAGCTTCGTCTATGTGTCACCTTGATAGGGGAGGAAGGGATGGTAGCTCATTAGTTCGGACTCATATTTTGGGTATTTTGATAATGCTTGTGAACATGTACACGATAGCTTACGTAGCTACACACGTGGTGTAGTGAGAACATATTCTACAATTTAAACGGCATCTATGAAGTTAGATAGAAAATTTTTAAGTACTCAAATATGCTTTTTATATTTAATACTTAATTTCAACTCTAAAAAAATATTTATTGTTTTTTCCTATCTTTTGCTTTCATTAGCTTCCTATAGATTATTATATTATTTTTCCATTTGAAAATTGAAATACTTTAAATGTATTAGATTGTAGATAGTGGGTTTAGCTCTCCACATTTGGAGAGTTAAACTCACTCTGTAAATTACAATGTTAATTTAAAGAGTATCTTGAATCATAATTTTAAGTATTGAGTACTTAAAATAGAAAGCGTCTTGTATTTAAAGACTCTATGAGATATGATAGGATCGGATTTTCTTTGAAAAAAAAATTAAAAAATCCTACTCTTATTTTGCCAACTCATCTGCATGTAAACAATTATGTAACTTTCTTATGTACAAATAATATTATTCTTTTGGTAATTGTACCAAATCGATTTTTATTGAGAATTATGAAAATAACTTATTGGTTCTATGAAGAAAAAAGATCCAATCCAATTCTTGTATTCTTTATGATATAGCCCCCGTTTGACTCCCATTATCTGAAAATGAAAATGGGAGGAATAATATTTTTTAGAAAAATGAGTTGTTGAAAAAGAAGGAAAAATTTTCGATTTACGTGTAATATTATTTTATGAAAGATTGTGTGATTGAAAATAGGAGAGATAAAAATGGAATGTAATGTAATTGAATTTAATATGGATCAAACGGGGACATATTGTAATATGTAAATTGTTTATATATTTTCTTATTTCACTTTCACTCTTTCGATTTTCAATAATTAAAACCTGGTCGATTAAATTATGACTCGGTAGAGAGGTAAATAAAAAGTATTTTTGAAACCATGTTGAAACAACGTTAAACTCTTAATTCTAAGACCCATATCGAATTAGACCGTACCATTTGATTTAGTCCGATTTAATATAGTGGGTGGTATAATGTAAAAATGACCACTTAATAGAGGTAAATAAACCTTATGTTAAATATCTACTTTGGTCCTCAAAATGGCAACAAAATTTCAAGTTGTTTCGTAAAGTTTATTTTTGTTTAAAATTAATAAATTGTTTCAGTTTAGTTTCCTCGGCCATTGATTGGAGGCCACTATAGATGGCTAACATCAAAAAATGAAATAGTCGAGAATCTCGAGTGATTGGCCGAGCACAAAAGTAGTCGAGAGCATGAATATTTTTTGAACTATTTACACGAAGTTTGTTGCCGGTGCTGCAACTGTACCTTGGTTTTCCGACCGGCAAACAGGTGAGGGAATCGTTGGCCTTCTTGTATCCCAGGGAAATACCGAAACTGTTAACTCAATTGGAGTCGAACCCTTACAAAATCTGGTGAAATTCGATAAAAGAACCTATTTTCATAAACAAAACAGAAAAAATACCGACAATTCTAAGTAGATATGGAGAATGTAACAAATTAACACGATATAGAATCCATGTTACTTCCAAAGATTCTGTAAGTAAAGAACTGATTCAGTAACCTCACCCCCTCCTAGCCCCGACCTCCCGAGAAAAAAGTAAAAAGCGTCCTGAACGAAAGAAACAAAGGAGAAGAAGAAAGACAGATTTCATACTGATACAGACTCTTGATAGTTCTGTTGCTCAATCCCAGGCAAAGAAAATTAGCTGCGAATGATACTTTATATAACTGCTCCGAAAGAGGAATTGTCGAATCCAAAGACACCATCTGACATGGTTCCATCTTGTTCCTACATAAGAACAGAAATGCAATCCTTTTTATAAAGGTAAAAGGGTAGAGATAAATGTTATAAAACCACAAAAACGTGTATAATTCAGGGTATCTTATATGATACACTAACAAATTGAAGAATAGGATCTTCATTTACACGATTCCAATTCAGTTTTTCTGTTCCTTCTAGTTTACAGGGTTGGGCTGCTAAAAACAACCCCAAATGTTGAGGCTTGTACAAAGTACAGCGTAGAAAAGGCAAATACAAAGGAGGCGCCCAATAACCTCACTGAAGCTTTTGCTCCAAGTTGTACGCCATAGTAAATCAAGGTGCGAGCCTTAGTAACTCGAGAAATAAGCCTTGACAAATAGCGGACAAGTCATAAGCTTCGAGTCTCCTACTGAACACCTAGCACTAGGCAAATCTCAAGGCATGCACCCCGTGAGCTTCTCTCAAGATTTTCTCATTTCTCTTTAGACTAACCTCAACAATAAGTCTGTGGTTTCTGAACTGAGGTCATGAACAAGCCAAATGCATGAATGCAACTCCAGTTTGAGTAATTTTCTTCCGACCGTACTTCTTTATACACTTTGGTCAAGGGGTATATCTGGAAGAGATATTGAACAACAACACAGGCTAGTTTAAAAGTTCAAAATCAGGTGTGGTGATTCCTTCTTAATAAAAGGGATACTGGTTCTAGTCAAAGTTTTGAGTTTAGCACATCTATCGCCTATGGAGAGCAACAATACAAGTGTGGATTAATTTGAAAATAAGAAACTGATTTAAATCAAAATTCAAATTTCAAGCAAAAATAGCATATGTAGGTAACCCAAAAAGGCCATAAAATAAAAATATGATAGGACTGAACGATGACTTCTTTAGCAGATCTAAACAGTAACTTCTTAATGAATCCACATTTTTGAAGTGTTTATATTTTCTATGAGAACAGGAACACTTGAATGTGTCAAAACTTTCCTAAATAGACAAGTATCTCAAAGAGTGTAATTCTAGAGCCAAGAAGTCATTTGCAGAGTTATATGATGCTCCCAAATTAAGCAACATATTGTCACCATTTACCAACTATTTCCAGGTACATGACAAGGTATTTGATAACAAAAATTGAATAAACTAAGGCCACATTATCCAAACAGCCCTCGAAATCTATGTCATAGTCTTAGTAAAATATCATCAATGAAAGTATAAGACATCAGTAAATGACAGAAAACAAGTTCATAAAGGTGTCATACCCGTTTGATCATTACATTCATTAAATCATCCAAGGAATGATAAATTTGAGGAACAAAACCACCTTGCAGCTTTGTTTGCTCGAAAAGAAAGTTATCATTGGATCTCATTCTTGACTCAGCAGTTGAAATTTCAATCTCATTCTGCTGCATAAGAGTTGAAGCAACTTCATTTGATTGGCCACTCGAGAACATGTCCATCTTTCCATTGAAGATTCCACTATTCTGGTTCAAACCCTGGCCCAAGGGAGATGCAATGCCATTGGAAGGAATATGCGAATTCAAGGAACCAAATGCATTATTTGAGGTGTGGTTGTAATTCTGTTTTTGTTCTCCCCAACCCTGGTTTGGTGCTTGGCTCATATTTTGAAGAACATTGCCAACCATACCTTCTTGACATTGAACCTCTCTTGAATCTTCAAGAGATGCTGAAACCA